TGGGGCGACGCCGAAAGAGAGCTGCGCGGACCTCCGACAAAGTTACAGTCCTCGCGACAGCACCAGGAACACCGGACAGGGAACGCAGCGGCTCTGTCTGGCCCCGGCGAGCCTCGGCCACGAGCACGCTCCCCGGCCCAGGACCCGAGGAAGGGCCCGGGAAACGGAGGCCCTTCGGAGCCGAACGGCTCCTCTTTTCAGCGTCTTTGCTGCACTGCAGGCCCGTGTTTTTTATGCTCGGCCACCCCTGCTCCCACCGATGCTGCGCCGACGGCGAGGATGCGCCGAGGGCGAGGCCGTCTCCCGTCAGGGAGACGCGACACTCGGGTTTGGAGGGCTGGAGCTTGCCCGGCGGGGCCGTCAGAAGAAATGGCGGGGCCTGGTTTGTACTGTGGCGCGAGCTCCCGCTGCAAACACATCACAAAAACTGGACCGCCAAAGTCCACGCTGGAAACGTCGAAGAGCAGCGGCAAGCCCGAGCCGCCAAAGCCCTGACAAACCCGAGCCTCGCGTCTCCCCAGGAATGGAGTTGGAGGTCTAGGGGACAGAGTGTTACGCTGAGCAACTCTTGCTTAAGCCATGGCGACACGCTTTGCCTTGCGAGCGGATTGCGAGTCGCTCCGCGCCGCTGGGCGGGGAGGCTGGGGAGAGCTCGAGGCTCTGACGCCCGGGGACCGTGGCGCGGTCAGCGTGTCGCGGCGTGGGCCAGAGCTGGCGGGGCGACACGCCAAGCAAAAGCTCCTGACCGCAAGCGATCCAGGGGACCGAGTCCTGCGCATTCGCGAGCCCCTGACATCTGCAGGCAGCACTTTGCCGATCCGCAGCCCCAGGAGTCCCGACCGCCTCCCCGAGGGGGGCCGGCTGCTCGCTCCGGACCCACTCTTTGATGGCGATGGCTGGCCCCGGAGACGGCCCCCGAGGCCCACAAGCTGGAACAAGCAAAAAAATGAAACGTCCGGATGAACCAAAAAAACATCGTCGGAGACCGCCACTTTCCCGCGCGATCCAAGACATCCAAGCGTAGCTCCGAAAATGATACTTCCGTCGTATTTTGTTTCTCTCGGTTGATGGATGGCCTGTGGATGGTGCCCGCTTGTTGGTGCCGCACGGTGCCCTGGTGGCATAAGTGCCCCTATAGGGTTCGTGCACTGTGGTTGGTGCCCCACGGCTGGTGCCCCCTGAATGGTGTCCCGCGGTTGGCAGGCAAGCCCAGAATCGAATCGACAACTCGGATCGGCGATCGACATGAATCGGGACGGCGGAAATCGGCAGCCGAGTCAGGAGAACTCAAATCGGCGGAAATCGGCAGGCCAGTATGCCTCTATTGAGAAATCGGAATCCACATCGGAATCCGAAGTCGATTCGAATCGGATCGGAGGAATCGAAAACAGCCCTGGCTGGTACCCTGCTGCTTGCACCGTACTGCTTGCGCCACGGATGTGCCAGGTGAACGTTGTCGTATTCGGCGTTTCGACACTGGGCGAAGGGGGGAGGGGGGGGTCTGGCTCCAGAACTCTGCTTAATGCGACGGTTTGCAGCAGTGCGTCCTGTTGAGGAGACTCCACCTGCTTGAAACGGGCTCCAAAGACAGCCAAGATCCATTCCATGGAGACGGGGGGGCGGGGGGGGGCGAGGGCCCGCGCCGACCGGCAAAACGATGAATAAGATAGGGAGGAGGAGGAGGAGGAGGAGGAGGAGGAGGAGGAGGAGAAGGAAGAGGACCTTTCCCATCCTCCCTTCCCCGCCCCGTCCTACCTGTGGCAGTGGTGGTGGAAGATTGGCCCATCAGCACGGCCAAGAAAACTGCCGCTGGGGAGGGGCCTCCCGCCGACCGGCACCTGCTGCCTGGGGGGAGCGCCAGCTTTTCCCGCACGAGCCGCCCCCGCGGGGGGGGGGGGGGGGCCGCCCGCAGGGCCCCCCATGGGCAGGGCGCGCACGCGGCGGGCCGAGCGGCGACGGGCCCCCTCGGCGAGGCCGCGGAGGCGGCCAGCACGGGGCGAGCCGCCAGCGGCGGCCCGCGACGGCCCAGCGCGGGCGAGCGCGGGCCGCGGAAAAGCGCTGCCGCCCGAGGGGGCCGAGAGCCGCCTGCCCCCCACCTCCTCCAGCCTCCCCCCTCCAAGCTCCTACAGCTTCTTCCTCCTCCTCCTCCTCCTCCTCCTCCTCCTCCTCCTCCTCCTCCTCCTCCTCCTCCTCCTACTCCCCCCCCTCCTCCTCCTCTCTCCTCTCTCTCCTCCTCCTCTCCTCCTCCTCTCCTCCTCCTCCTCCTCCTCCTCCTCCTCCTCCTGCCTCGTCCGGCCTCCCCTACTAACTCCTCCTCCTCCTCTCCTCCTCCTCCCCTCCTCCTCCTCCTCCTCCTCCTCCTCCATCCTCCTCATCCTCCTCCTCCTGCTGACTCCTGGCCTCCTGCCTCAGCCGACCTCCTCCTCCTCCTCCTTCTCCTCCTCCTCCTCCTTTCTCCTCTCCTCCTCCTTCCTCTGCTCCTGCCTCCTCCTCTCCTACT